TAGAAATAAGGTATTCACAAGCCAGAAGAGAAAACCTTCCCCGTCCTAAGGGTTAAAAGCAACGGATCTGCCTTCCTAGAGGGGATGGGAAATCCGGGGTGGGGTGCGGGTCCTCCAGAGCGAAGGTCACCCAAGGAAATCCTCTCGGGATCTGCCTGGGCAGCTTTGGAGAGAGAAAGCTCGGCATTCCAAGGGTTAAGAGCAGCTGAGCTGGGTTCCTAGAGGGGACAGGAAACAGTGGAGAAGGAGGAGGTCCTCCGGAGCCAAAAAGGGAGCGCCTGTAGCCTTGGCAACTTCTGCGTGGGCTGAGTCTCCTGTCTCCCCCGCCAGAGGGCGCAGTGGGGAGAAGGGAATCCCCGGGGGGGGGCAGGGGACCCCCAAGTCCAGGGAGCAGAGAGACTCTTGCCCCCTTCCTCTCTGCCAAGCCGGGGAGGGGGACCAGGGCATTCCTCGGCATCCCTGGCCCCCTTCAGACCGAGGAATCCGGGCTATCTACTAGCAGACGTCGTAGTGGGAAAGAAAGATTTGTACGTAAAATAGATGCAGAAAGAAAAAAGAAAGAAAGGAGAGCGTGACCCATGCAATCAATTGAGGAAGTGCAGTGTAAGCGGTGGAAGTCATTCAATGAAATTTTATTATTATTTGTTTATTGAAATACATGTAGAATAAATTTGGAAGAAATTCTTCCTACTTTCTTCGCTTTCTCTTTTTCTAATTTTTCTTTTTCCTTTTTCTTATTCTTTCTTATTTTTCATTCTTCTTTTCTATATTTTTCTTTTTTATTAACAGCATTATGGAATTTTGAATATTTGTATGTGATTTATTTATTTATTAATATTGGGGAAATTGCAGGGGTCGGCACACCGGCAGTGCAATAGATGAGCCTTAGGGATTGTAACACTTTGTTAATTGATTTTGATTTTGTAATAATTATATTAAGGTAATAAAATAAAATTTAAAAAAAGGAATTGAATGTGTTCTGAAGAGTTGTTTTGGGGATTCAGGAAGAAGGGGTAGACCCTGTGTAGCACCCTGCTTGTGGTTAACGCTTAGCTGGAATGAAATATTCAACGCAGCAATAGAGAAATTAAAATAATACAGTAGTGCCCCGCAAGACGAACGCCTCGCAAGACAAAAAACTCGCTAGACGAAAGGTTTTTTCGTCCGCGATTTGCCTCGCAAGATGAATTCCCCTATGGGCTTGCTTCGCAAAACGAAGCTTGCCCCGGGGACAGCGGGTCTTCTCTTTTGAAGCAAGGGGCTGCGGGGAGATAGCGATCTCCCTGCAGCCCCTTGCTGCAAAAGACGTCCGGGGGAAGCGGGGAAGCGAAGCGCTTCGCTTCCCCGCTTCCCCCGGACCTCTTCTGAAGCAAGGGGCTGGGGGGAGATAGCGATCTCCCTGCAGCCCCTTGCTGCAAAAGACGTCGGGGGAAGCGGGGAAGCGAAGCGCTTCGCTTCCCCGCTTCCCCCGGACCTCTTCTGAAGCAAGGGGCTGGGGGGAGATAGCGATCTCCCTGCAGCCCCTTGCTGCAAAAGACGTCGGGGGAAGCGGGGAAGCGAAGCGCTTCGCTTCCCCGCTTCCCCCGGACCTCTTCTGAAGCAAGGGGCTGGGGGGAGATAGCGATCTCCCTGCAGCCCCTTGCTGCAAAAGACGTCGGGGGAAGCGGGGAAGCGAAGCGCTTCGCTTCCCCGCTTCCCCCTGACGTCTTTTGCAGCTGTTCCGAAGTGGGGCGGGGGGGCGGGGTCACCTGCCCCAGCCGCCCCACTTCGGAAAGCTGTTCCGAAGCGGGGAGGGGGGGCGGGGACATCTGCCCCAGCCGCCCCACTTCGGAAAGCTGTTCCAGGAACAGCTCCATAGGAACCTCCATAGGCGCCCGTCACCTCTCCAGCCAGGAGAGCGCGCGCGGGGCTAAACCAGCCCCCCGCGACCCTCTCCCAGCTGGAGAAGTGACGCGCGCCTATGGCAGGAGCCTCCATAGGCGCCCGTCACCTCTCCAGCCGGGAGAGCGCGCGCGGGGCTAAACCAGCCCCCGCGACCCTCTCCCAGCTGGAGAAGTGACGCGCGCCTATGGCAGGAGCCTCCATAGGCGCCCGTCACCTCTCCAGCCAGGAGAGCGCGCGCGGGGCTAAACCAGCCCCCCGCGACCCTCTCCCAGCTGGAGTTGTGACGCGCGCATATGGCAGGAACCTCCATAGGCGCCCGTCACCTCTCCAGCCGGGAGAGCGCGCGCGGGGCTAAAGAAACCATAGCCCCGCGACCCTCTCCCAGCTGGAGAAGTGACGCGTGACTATGGCAGCAGCCTCTGAAGGATGCACCGAAGCCTGGCGTGGGGGGGGGCGGAGAGACCTTCTCCCCGCGCCAGCCTTCGGATGGCTGTCCTGAAGACTTGGGGTGGGAGAAGGGTTTTCCTTCCCACCGCCAACATTCAGAATGCTGTTCTGAATGTTGGCGGTGGGGAGGAAAAACCCTCCTCCCACGCAAGCCCCGGGAACAGAGGGAAAGCGCTGCGCGCCTTCCCCTCTGTTCCCGTACCTGTGCTGAAGGCTTGCGGTGGGGAGAAAAGCCCTTCTCCGCACCGCCAGCCTGGCAAGCGGTTTCCCTAGGAACGCATTAATTGATTTTCAATGCATTCCTATGGGAAACCGTGCTTCGCAAGACGAAAAATTCGCTAGACGACAAAAATTGCGGAACGAATTAATTTCGTCTTGCGGGGCACCACTGTAATTTATTTGTCAGACAAATAAATGAGAGGCACAGTGGTATATGGTTACCAAGCTCTGGCCTGGTCTCCTGTCATTATGGCCAGCACTTATATTCCCTCAGTCCAGCCCCCTTGCTCCTCCTTTGGCTGCCTCTGTCCAATCAGCCTGGTTGAATTTCCTATTGGCTGATTGCTATAACCAATCCTAAAAGATACACCCATTTCCTATTGCCTTTTATGGGATACAAAAAGCTATATATTCTTCTATCTATAAATGACAAATAAGTAGTCATATATCTTACATTTGTCTCAACAAGGAACCTTAATTACCAGCTCACCTCTTGCCCTCCTTGCCCTATTGCCCTCCAAAACAGATGGTTAATAGTTTTAAATTTTTATCTTAGACAGATGTCAGGGATCTTGGGTTCACATTCTCATGCATCATCATGAAAGATCTCCTTTTTGGAGGTCTTTAAACAATGGCCTGACAACCATATATCAGGACTGCTTGGATGGCGTCTCCTGTCTGGCAGGGGGCTGGGCTCATCTGCCCCTCTGGTCCCCTACAGCAATATGACTCTATGAAATAAGAATTTAACATTTCTTTCTTTCTAGATCCTTTGCATAATTACATTTAAGGCAGTATATTTCATACATTATCATAGATAGCTTTTTAGAAGAATAAGCCTTCTCAAAGGAAAGGATGGACCAGTTTACAGCCTCAAAATAAAAGCCTCTTCTTTTATTTACACTTCCCTTCTCAGCCAGTTGTTTTCTTTTCCATTTACTCTTGGCCTTTAACCTTAGGAAAATATGGCTCAAGTTTAAGGCACATGGTTTTATTTTACTGTTTACCAACTATTAATTATGTAGGGTCTGTGTAACTTTGGTCTTCAGCCTGTAATTCCCTTTTTACGACTTTGAGAATTGTTTTCTGCTATAAATCAGGGGGCCCCCTTGTCCAGGAGGATAAACATCTTGCCAAAGTACTTAGGCAGTTGGTCTTCATTTGAAAATCTTTAAGCTCATTTTAAAATACAGACCCTAATCAAACTATAAGCCTTGATAAAAATGCAGGTTATGATTGGATGCCTCACCTGGAGTTCCTTGGAGAAAATGGTGGGAAAGAAATGAAATTAATAAAGAGACGGAGCCCAGCCCGTAATCTGACGGCTGCATTTTGCAGCTGTTTCTGAGTTGTCTTCAAGGGCAGCTGCACATGGAGGGCATTGCAATGATCCCATTGGATCCAGAGCATGGAATACCATGGCCTTGTCCTCTCATCCCAAAGAGACTGGGGCTGGCAAACTAGCCAGAGCTGGAAGGGGGCAATGCTAGTCACTGAGGCCACCTGGGAACCTCTAAGCAGATGTGGTGGTGGGGTTATGCTATGCAACATTATTGTTATTTTAATTATTATAATTAGTAATTACCCATCCTATTATTTACATGCAGTTCACCCTAAGTTCCCAGGGCAGATTTCAACATTAAAACACTATAAAAAAATAGTTTAAAACTAGAGCTAGAAGATTTCTTCTTCTTCTTCCTTTTTTTCTTAAAGAAAGCTGAGTCTGGCCTGTGGTGCAGTCCAGTCCTGGTTCCTTCCAAGACTCATCTACACTTGCACAGGGAACCACCTTCTTCTCCTTCCCATTTATCAGTTTTATAACAGAACAGTGTCTTTGTTTGTAGAATTTGCCAGTACCTCTCATTCGTTTGGATGGACAGAACTTAGCAGAAGACCAAGGGGTTCCTTCTGATCTTTTGGAGACTTCCTGATAGCACAGATGGATGAGCAAGACTCAGCTGGCCCTGAAGCAGGAAGAGGCCATGGCATTGACAATGGGAGCAATGGGTTAGCGCCATCGTCTAATGGCGGATTCCCTCTGAGCTCCGGAGGGAATCAGCTCAGCAGGGATTGGGTCCTGCCGCGCCGGCGACGCGGGGACCCTTAAAAACCACGGGCGTGGAAGCCCGTGGACTTGGTGACTCGGTGGGCACCATTAGCGCCCCCCGACCCGCGAAGGAGCCTTTTTTAAGGCTACGGAACGGGGGACGGGGAGCGGCGCGGTGCTGAGAGTCCTCTGCTTCCCCTGCTGAGTGAAGCCGCATGCCATGGACGGAGAGCGCTGACTTCTTCCTTTGAACATCTGGATTAAAAGCAACAACCCGTGAGTGATACGGAAATTGGACTTAAAAGAAAAAATTTCTTCTTTGAATTTGGCACGATCGGGGAAGACGCAAAGAGGAAGTCCGTCTCCCCGCCTTGTAAACAACTTAAAGCAAGGACTAGATAACTAAGGTTGAAAGAATATTCTTTCTTTACTGGATAAAAGTTATTAATTTCACGATTGGAAAGTACAAGTAATTTTGCTGGAGGATAAGAGTGGATTTTGAGAACTGAAGTGCAACCCCCCAGGAACCGGGGGGGTCCTTTTCTAACCCATTTCCACATTCTCTATTACAAATCCTTGTTGCTCTTTCAGGAAAAGGATCAGTCGGCAGCAGCGGGTCCTGATCCCTCTGAGGCAGAGAGGACTTCACTGGACACCAGAGAGAGGCCGCTGGGTAAGGAGGAAGGAGTTGTTTCTCAGTCTGGCCACGTTCTGTTGACACTGGAAGTAATCCCTGGGTTCTTTCAGTATCTGAGGGAAAGACAAGAGATGTATTTTCACATAACTAAAATATGAAATGGGCACAAAGGCCAGAATGCACCTCTGAGAGAAGCACCATGCACTCCTGGCTCCCCTTTGTCTCTTGTAGGTGAAAGAAGGATGCCAGCAAGATCTCCTCCATCTCTTCATCCTGGTGGAGGGGAAACAGTGGCTGAGGAACCGGATCACATAGGGGGAAGGAATCTTGGGGGGAAAGAGGCTGAGGGGTGGGGGAGACAGGGCGTTTCTGGGGGCAAAGGAATCTCCTGCTCTTTTTTCTTCTGTCAAATCTGGAAAACTGGCATGCTTGCACAGACAGAATGATTTGAAGAAATCAACATGGAGTTCCACCCATTTTCCTTAAGACCTGAAAGATTGCTGCGCCATAAATCTTATTAAACAAAGGAGAGCTGGAAGAGAGCCCAGAGCCCTGGAAGATAAAAAACGTGGCCTCGGGGGGTGGGGGGACCACGCTGAAAATCAACCTACGGATAACAACACAGAATAAAATGCTTCTTGCAAGTTAATAGACATATGGATTTGCTAAACACAATAGAAAGTCATATACCAGTGATTGTGATGATAAGACAGTGGGTTAAGATCGGAGTTATGAAATTGGGGGAAAACTTCAAAAAAAAATTCCTTTAAAAGAATCAAGTCTTAAAACAAACAAAAAAGTCCTTAGACAGTATTTAAAAGAATCCTTCCAAAAAAAATTTGCAAAATTGTCCAGTAGCACCTTAGAGACCAATTGGTCTACCTACCTGAATCTGGGGAAAAACAAGAGAAGAACACAGAAACAAGTGAAAGAAATTTTCTCCCGATAGCCAGAACATGGGAAGCCCTCCCAATTTTTTTTAGTTTGGAATGTATTCAATCCATTAATAATTTTTTAGTTCATCTTCAGTGAAGGTTTGCCGGATCATAAATCAGCAAAAATAATGTAACTATAAAAAGAGAACCGAAGGCCCCCCTTCACTTACCTAACAATCCTGTTACGGCAAAGTCCTCTCCAGATCAAAACCTTGGCACACAGTGGCTGATTCATTTAGCAGGTTATCATGTCTCCGTCTTCCAAAACACACCTGTTTCTTAAGTCCAGATTTTTTATCTTAAAAAAAAAGAAGTATTCCCGCTCACGGTGGCCACATTGGAGAGTTCTGATTCATGCAGTGCCAAGCACTCAGGGCCCCTGCCCCCTGCATTCCGTCAGAGCGAGAGACAGTCAACGGACAATCCGCCAGTCAAAGCTTGCCCTCCCTGACCCGGGGGGGGGGGTCACAAGGATAATTACTCTCATATTATCCTTAATTAACTGCATGGTCAGAGTCCGCTTTCATGGGTCCGCTGCACGCCATGGCAGTCCATGACAGAAGTCGCAAATGCAACGTTTTAAGTGCGTTATACAAAGGTGACACTAGATGGCAATGGTGAGCTTATGGCAAATTCAATACATTTTTCAAAATGCTTCTTTTACAAAGCATTTTCACAGCATTTTTAATATGTGTCTGGATTCCCCCACTCACACAGGGTCAACAGAATTGTTGCCCATCCGAAGATCACAAGGCCTTTTTTGCCTAAATCAACCCCGCAGGTGGTAAAAACAAAGAAGCACAAAATATTTTACACTGTTTTTTTAAAAAGAATTCCAACAATCTGAGGAGCCTTTGCTGTAAGGCTGCGGGGATCTCTACCCATTTACCTGGGAATAAAAGGCATTGAACTTAAAAGAACCTCTGAGTCGATGTGTAAAGGATTGCACTACAAAGGCCTAAAATGTTGAACCAGACTCCAGCTCAGTTGATAGAGCATGAGACTCGTAATCTCAGGGTCGTGGGTTTGAGTCCCATGTTGCGCAAATGATTCCTGCACTGCAGGGGGATGGATTGGATGACCCTTGGGGTCCCTTCTGACTCTACAGTTCAATGATAAGCAAAGTATACATGACTATAACTCTCATAATAATAAATTTTTATTTATACCCCGCCCTCCCTGCCCAGAACTGGGCTCAGGGTGGCTAACACCAATAAAATTACAAGAAAACATAATGGGGGGGGCAGTTAATTAAAATAAGGGTTAAAATACAATTTAAAATGTATTAAAGATCTTGTTTGGAGTGTTACTTAAAAAAATAATAATTGACCGCAATAGATTTTACTCCAAATGATTTTTGCATGAAGTCTATTTCTAGGCATGCAGGTTTTTTTTAGAGAAGACAAGTGGCAAATAAATGGCAACTGTTCTCTGGGCAAGAAACATGACACTTTTCTTCATTTTCTTCCCTTTTCTTTCCGACTTTAAAAGCAGACAAAATCGGCTGCCTTGTCCCAGGATTCAGCCTAAGAGCAGCTGTCCCTGCCCAGCAGAAGACATCCAAGCCTAGACGCGACAAGGTAAGTCCTGAGTATCATAGATGACATGGGGGGAGGGGGCGGATACAATCTGGGAAAGAAGAAGGGAGAAGTTTGACTTTCTTTCTTAGCACAGGCCTTGTACATAGCAGGGAGACACTGAACGAAACATTCAGAGGCAAAGCTCCCTCAGAACTACCAAGCCAATCAGAGTGCAGGCTTCCTGAGTAAGCGTCAGCAAGCAAAAGCTCCACCTTTCCCTCTTTTGGTTATTTGACTTGAACGTGAACACAATTAACCTGTTGGAAGCGTGAACTTCGAACAAGACCTTTTCTTGAAGGAGCGCGGGAGGTCATCCCCCCCCTCCTGCTTAGCACACTCAGGCCCTGAGGGACAATCTAGAGGGGCCCATAAAAATCTGGTCTCCAGCTGTTTTTAACTACAATTCCCATTGTCCCTGACCACTGGTCCTGCTAGCTAGGGGTGATGGGAGTTGTAGTCCAAAAACAGCTGGAGACCCAAGTTTGGGAAACCCTGATCTAACACTGTATTGTAAGAAGCTTTAAGGTTCCTGGGGTTCTGTGGGGGAAGCAAGACCATTCATGGGGCATGAGGGTGCTTCTAATGTCTGGTGCAGACGGAACTCCGGTTTCTTCTGAGTTTGAGGGTCCACAGCAATTGGCTCCCCCTTTCCCCCTTTGGGAAAAGAGAGGGGGCAGAGAGTTTGGCAGGTTGACCAACTCTGCCTCTTCTGGCTGTCCTCGCAGGCAATACCAGGAGGTCGTCTGAATGCAACCTGGTGCTCAGGTTTTTTCTCTCTCTCTTGGCAACCAACAACCGTGCTGCAGGTGGAGTGCCACAAAAGAGAACGCCCTCTCCCAATTTCAGTCATGGGGGGAGGGTGGGGAAACCCGTAAGAGGCTGCGGTTGCAGGTATTAGTTCTCTTAAAAAGCAGGAAGAGCCTAGGGTCAGCATATCTAGAATCATAGAATCATAGAGTTGGAAGAGACCACAAGGGCCATCGAGTCCAACCCCCTGCCAAGCAGGATCTAGGACAAAAGTGTGTCATAAGAATGAAAGACAAGGCTGCAGCCTGCACATTCCAGCATCCTTATCTCACAGTGGCCAACCAGATGCCACTGGAAAGCAGAATTTGAACACAGAGCCCTCTCCCCTTCCTGTGGTTTCCAGCAACTGGTATTCAGAAGCATTCCTGCCTCCAACAGTGGAGGCAGAGCAATTAGGACATGCTGAACTTTTCGGACGCAGGTGGTGCTGTGGGTTAAACCACTGTGCCACTTGGGCTTGCCAAGGTTGGCAGTTCGAATCCCCACCACGGGGTGAGCTCCCAGTGTTCGGTTCCAGCTCCTGCTCGCCTAGCAGTTCGAAAGCACACAGTGCAAGTAGATAATAATAATAATGATAATGATGATTTATTTATATCCCGCCCTCCCCAGCCAGTATCGCTCCGGCTGGAAGGTAAACGGTGTTTCCGTGTGCTGCTCTGGTTTCGCCAGAAACGGCTTAGTCATGCTGGCCACATGACCCAGAAAAACTGTCTGCGGAAGCGGACAAAGGCAGGCTCCCTTGGCCTTAAAGCGAGATGAGCACCGCAACCCCAGAGTCGTTTGCGACTGGACTTAATTGTCAGGGGTCCCTTTACCTTTACCTTTAAAGAGTTGTAACATGACTTGGGAATTCAGAAGATGTGGTTAAATTAATATAATTTAGTTTTGCGTGATAAGTAAACTATGTGTAAAATTGCATACAAATCATTAAAACAATTGTCTAGTACTCGCAATCTATTATTATTATTTAGTATTACCCGACATTTTCAGAAGGTAAAATTGAAATTCTTTTTCAAAAGCAGTTTATGTAGCTGGTGGGGTCTCCTCACTGTGACTCACCAAAACCTTCCCCAACCCTTAGAATGCCCTCTATGGACTCGAGCTACGGGATTCCAGGAGGATAGAGACAGTCCACCAGTACTTGCACTTACTCCTGACGTTGCCTCTCGAAGAGGAAACAGAGAGGTGAGTGAATGTGTGGGATGTCAGGGGGGAGGAGAGCCAGCGGGACTGGGACTGCGCTCACATGGAGACTCTCAACCTCCAGCCGTGTCCTGGAAGAGCCTACTCCTTCTGAACCCTCCTGCTTCAAGCACCTGCTAGCTCGTCCCTTCCCCAGGCTGCTCCCCAGTGTCCCACCACCACAATCCAGGGTCCCCCTGGGCAGGCGGTGCCCCCCACTCTTACTCATCCACATTACCCCACAGACCCCACCAGCCCTCTGTCCTTCTTTCCTGATTGGTCTCTGCTCGTGACCTTCGTTCCTCCAACTACACCAACGTCCAAGGATTTCATGCCCATCCAGTCACACCCTCAAAGCCCCTTATAGTAGGAACCGCTTTTCAGCAAACCAAATCTGGGGCAGATTTGGTTAGTTTTGGGTTACATCAGAGCAGCCAACAAGTGGCCCTCAATGCCCTTCTTGGCAGCCCTCAGCAACCTTTGAGGCACCCATACACACCTGTAGGCCTTGCACCGCCTTCCCAAAGCTGGGTAAGGAGGTGCTGGGCTTTGGGAAGGAGGCATGTGTGATCTGTCAGGGTCCTCCAGCTTCCTTCCCAAAGCCTAGTTAGCTCTTTCCCAGCTTTGGAAAGAAGGTGGGAAGGCTCTAGGTCCCACCAGAGCATCGTGCCTCCTTCCCAAAACCCAGTGCCTCACCTGCCTACCTTTGGGAAGGCAGCATGCGGGCCGGGGTGTGTGTGTCAAATTTTGGCCTTGCTCCCCTCTCCCACACGACAAGTCAGTATGTGGCCCACAGGTTCTGTGCTGAACTACTCTTGTGGCCCACTTGGTATGAGAAATTGGAGCACCCTGGTTTAGATGGTGCATATTTCTGCTCTGGCGCCTTTGGGTGAGGGGTGGATTACAAATACTTCCAGTGTATAAATGATGCATTTTAATGTAGTTGGGTGTTTAATGAAGCCAAGAACTGTATCACAAGATTCGAAAATGTCAGAATGCAAGGCATCCTTGCATTTCAAGCTGCACATGAGTCTGGGAGGTGTGGTCTGGTCAGTTCACATCAGAATCCACAGAAATATCGTTCTTCAAACCACCCCTATTATTATCCAGGATGGAAGGATCTGTTCAAATTGGTTCTCTAAGTGTCTCATTTCTCCACTTAAATTTGGTTCCCCACATTTTGCAGCAATCTGCTTACACAATCACATTTATCCTCTATCCCTCATGATCACTAATTGCAATCAAGAAAACAACATGTTTGATGTGCCTCATTCTCCCTAGGGGATTTCAGAGGCAATCGGTATGGCTTCATACCACCACTTAGAATAGAATCATAGAATCATAGAATCATAGAATCATAGAGTTGAAGAGACCACAAGGGCCATCGAGTCCAACCCCCTGCCAAGCAGGAAACACCATCAGAGCACTCCTGACATATGGTTGTCAAGCCTCTGCTTAAAGACCTCCAAAGAAGGAGACTCCACCACACTCCTTGGCAGCAAATTCCACTGTCGAACAGCTCTTACTGTCAGGAAGTTCTTCCTAATGTTTAGGTGGAATCTTCTTTCTCTTATCTCAAATATTGATGGCAGTGCGGGATTTTGGCCACGCAGCCATTGCAAGGAAGACTGAGATGTCTGAGGTAAGGGTGTGAAGTGAGGAAGAAGCATAGCAAGAGTGTAGGTCAGCCATCCCCAGCCTGGTGCCCCTTCCCCATCCGTGTGTTTTGAATTGGAACTCCCATCAGCCCTTGACAGCATGGCCAATGGTTAGATGAAGGTCCTGGCAGATTGGATCCTTACATCCACACCAAAGCATGTGAAGCAGCCTCTGGGTTCCTCTGATCTAGTAAAACAGCTGTGTTGGAAAAGAACAAATCCTGCCCCATTTCCAAATATGCTCTTTTTCAAGGGATGGGATCCTTACCAGTCCAAAAAGGCAATTGGATCTGCTCATCCTCTCAGTATGGAAGCCAGACAACTTCCTCTGTGGGTATGTCTCAGTCATCCTTCTGAAGTGGGCTCCAGCAGTCCTGTCTCTGTGGCTCCAGACCCTAGATATGATCTGATCCCTTGGCTCAGTCAGTCAGTCAAACGGATTCATTAGAAACCATTGGTCATCCCCAAAGTACACGCAATACAAAAGTACACTGACCCAAGTTTTTAGGTTAGTTGTCAGATGGTTGGCATTTCTTCAATAGTGGAAGCTAATGGGGGACCCCCAAGGGCCATCTAGTCCAGCCCCCTCCAATGCAGGAATCTTAAGCATCCCTGAGAGATGGCCATCCAACCTCCAATGAAGGAGAGTCCACAGCCTACCAAGGGAGAGTGTTCTGCTGTCAGAAAGCTTTGAATGAAGAACCTCTTAGAGTTTGGAAGACGGGACACCTCTCCAACTGAGGGGAAGGAGCAGAACCCAAGAGAGAAGGCAGTCGGCAGGCTGGGAGAGGCAGAGAGAAAGAGGGGAGAGGTTTCAGCTGCATTCCGGGGCAGGGCAGCTGCCAAATTTGATCTCGTGCAAGGGTTCTTCTGCCTTACGGGAGTGCCTGCTGGTCCCATTCAACTATGTTTTAGAGTAGACCCATTTAATTTAATGAACATGACTAAGTTAGGCCCATTCATTTCGACAGGTCTACTTGAAGCAAAGCAT